CCTGCATGTACACGTGACATGCTCTAATTGGAGTCTTGATGCTGCTGCATCAGGATCCTGATGCAATAATTTCTCATCAGATGGGGGGACGACGGATGATGGGGGTTGTAGACGTTGGCTGGCAGTCAAATGGCAGCGCCCAACCAAACATTCTCTTAATAAGATATATGCATCACAAGGGTCCTAAAGGCTTTTGCTCGCACATCTAATTCTCTTCCTGCCCCTACCACTCTTCTTCTTGTTATGTGCTTCTCCAGACCTCAATGTTCACACCATGCCTCCTCCCAAAGTACTGAATTTTCAATCGAGACAAACAACAATCTTGTTTTGCAACCAAATGATGACATTCCTGGTCAAACTGATGTTTATAAAAGTATGTTTCTCAAACAAGCACGGAATGGAGCCTTTTTCACTACTTTTAAGCGCATTTTAGCTGGTCTAACAGGTAAGGGCCCTTTAGTAAAACTTAGCCCATGGGCCATTTTAAATTGGCAAACATGACAGCCCCGTCGGCCGAACCCATTTAGCATCCATAACAAGTATAACATTAAATTCATATTGTGAAAATAACTGTGAAAATAACTTTTTTTTTTTTTTTTTGGGTTGAATCAAGTTCAACAATTTCAAAATTATAATTCATTTATTGATCAAGTATCATTCAAAAAATTATTAAAATAAAATTATTAAAGTTGACCATTCAGCATAATATAAAATTTTTATTATGTGTTGAGTCAAACTCATAGAATTAAGCTCAATCTTGAACTTAAAATTGATTAATTAATCAAACTCAAGATCAAGCTAGAGATAAATGGCTGACTAGAAGTAGAGATATATCATAGGCAGACGCATCTACCTAAGAAAAATAAATATGATTTAGCTTAAATGGTCTTTCCAAATCATAGATCGGCTAGAAAAAAAGTGATTTGCCTAAACATAAAAAAATCAAAGGGTTGGGACATGATCAAGCCCTCGATGGGGAATCCATGTATACAACAAGCCAAATGAGATTGTCGGCTTAGCTATATAATGGCATGAGATGGTTGATAAAGATCAAATAAATATATGAAAGATATATGATTAATATGTATCATAATAAAAGATTCTCGACTACTCTAATGCTAATAAGAGCTTAATCTCTACATACAAATATATCATACATGATGTGGAGATGTATAAAATGATGAACTAAGATGAAAGAGTATAAATAACTCAGTGTATGACTCAATACATGAGAATTTAACTATGACTTAATAGATTAAATAAATTGAAAAATAAAAAAGTAGTGCATGCACAATATGTCCCTAACAATGAATTATGATGCTATGCAAGCATATATGAAAGTTATAACCAAGATAAAATGATATCTAGCCTAACTAATATTTGAATCTCTAATAGTCAATTCAAATGTAAATCTGTGTTGAAATAACAAAATCAAATCACGTGAGCGTCAGGTTTCCTAAAAACTCAACTAGACTCTAAATAAATTGGCTAATGAGTAGATTTACTAGGGCAAAACATAAGTCTCCACAACCCTCATTTGCCAAAATGCACCCTAAGTCAATAAAATTTATAAATTTACTATTAATATATTAAAGCCTATATATATTTTAAAATGTTTGTATGAAAGATGTTTATTACATTTAAATTATCTTATTTTTAGAATTTTTTTAATATTGAAAGCCCATTTAAATACTCCAATCAATATTTAAATCAAGAATATTAGCTCTCAAACTATGACATAAATTATTTACCATATCAAATATTTATTATATTTATTAAATTCAATAAACATAGCTTATATATAGTCAAATTAAATTATTTTCATATTTAATTTAATATTAAGATTATATTTGAACGCTTATGAAAATCATTTTGATAAAAAAATAACTCAACATGATCATGAAATCAATTTATACTTTTTTTCTTAACTTCTAAGCATTGAATTTAACATTAGAAAGCTAAGGAGTATCTTGCTATTTGAAAATGGGCATTTCCTATTATAAAATTATTTAAATGTGTCCATTTTATAATTTTATAAAACATATTATTAATTATGCTTCCTTACCTATCAAAACTTTGCAATATATAAAGTTTTTTTTTAATATTTGTTTAACAATGTTTTTCTTATTTATATAAATTTTCTAAGCTTTATTTTATAAATTTTATTAAGAGCGTCTATAGCAAATGAAAGTTTGAGTCAATGAGTTTTGATATCTCATGTCCTAAATCTCCACAAACAAGCACAAAACCTAACTCAATTCCCTACAATAGCCTAGAGGCCCTACTCGATACAAATAGGTGGTGGGAGGTGAAATACTCACATATGCAGAGTTGAGGTAGGTCTCTGACTCATCCAGATGGTGGGAAAGACTTCATTGTATTTGGAATATGTTTGAGTGTTCCTAGCAAAAAGAAGAATGTGCATATGCATCAACATTTTTATGGAATAATCAATGTAAACAGTTGTCATAATAAAGGCATCATATGAAACATAGGCCGCATATGTGCTCATAACTTCAAAATGACAATCTTGTCCCAACATATTTTAGTTCTAATGATTTTATCTCAATTAATTTTGTTATGTTATTTAAGCTGAATTTTCTGAGCTTATTTTGATTATCAACCAAAAATTTAATTTTGTATAGTATATTTTGATAATTAGAAAACTTCGCTAAATCTATTTCATTTATTTTATTCCATATATAAGCTACGTAGATGATTGCAATAAGTATTTTTCTCTTAGATTTTAAATTCTTAAATAACTATAATTCATTCCTGGTCAATAACTAATTGGTTTATTTTATTTGTTCATGTGAAAATTTCTTTGGTATTTTTAGATCTCACTACGTTTGAATTTTGTACATGACAATCACACAACTTCAATTAAATCTTAGCAAACCAAATAATCATGCAATAAACATAGCAAATTAACTTGTGAACATGACAAAAGATTCTCATGAAAGAAATATAAACCAAGTATACACAAATTTGTTCTGTCATCAAATCATCATGTGAAGGTTTCATTCTCCATGATTTATTTGCAATTATTTTATAAAAAAATGTTTCACTCATCAAGTGTCTTAAAAATTCTTACATTCATTGCTACTTCACAATAGAGATTAGGGCTTTTAACAAATAGCTAGTAATTGAGCTAAATTTAATAATATGGTGGTGGCTTAATCCAATATTGTTTTAAGTTGAAAATGGTCAGTCAACTTTGACACAGATTCTACTTTAGGCAAGGAATTAATTTGATTTTAACTATTTTTCAAAACATATATTACATGTAACAACATTTAATCATGTCAGATAATTGATTGTTATAAGATATTGTATGAACCAATTGGAAATAAAGTATAGCTTAATCTTAGCTTGACTGGAGCCCGATTTGACCAACTTTGATATTATCTAGTCAAGATGACCAACATGATTATAAACTTATTGAAATTGGGGACCGAATGATCCTAAATTTGAATTTGAAATATCCTTAATTAAAACTGCATTGAGATTCATGCTTGATGATAAAATTATTGATCACACATCTATATGAATATATGATATATTAAGTCACATTTATTTTATTATATGTTTCTTAAATAAATATTAAAACAACTTATTCGTATTTAATTTACAGACAATCAAATAAATTCAAGTATTATGAATTTACTTTACAGAATAAAATAAAATAGTTTCCCTTAATTTTCTTTTTATACAACAAAAAAAACTTTTAGAAATATAATACATTGTATTATATTTTCATCTACAATTTTCTTATAGACAACAAAAAAATAGCCCCTTAACATTCATTTCCTCTTTGTATTATTTTCCAAAAAAATATAAAATCTATTATAATTTATAAACAATACTTTACATATATAACCAAAATGATTAAATAAATTTTGCTTCTAATAATTTCCAAAATTTTGGTAATAATTTACAGAAAAATTTATGATAAGAATAGTAAATTCTATCATTCAATCGACTTAGCAAATTTCCAAACTTCAGTATAAATAAAATACTCCAAATTAGGGCTGTCAAAAAAACTCATTGTTCGCGAACAGTTCGTTTTCGGTTCGTCAATGAGTTCGTGTTCGATTCGTTCAATTAGTAAATGAGACGAACATAAACAATTTTTTTCGTTCGGTTAGTTAAACGAACCAAACATGAACAGTAATGTGTTCGTTCGTGTTCGAATCGTTATTGTTCGAAATATAAAATAATTTAAAATAATTATATATAAAAATTTATGATATTTTAAAAATTAAATTTTATAAATTATAATTTATAATAAATTAATAATAATATATTAATATACTATATTAGTAATATACAAATATATATATTATATGTTTATATAATATAAGTTTAATAATTAATATAATATATTATTTATATATATTAATATTAAGGATGTCAAACATGCTCGTCGTTCGCGAACAACTCGTGTTCCGCTCGTTCGTTAAGAAACGAACACCAACAGTGACTTCATGAATAATTTCAAACACGAGCTTATTTCATTATTTCAAACAAACTAAATCAAACTAAATTTCAAACGAACCGCACACGAACACAAGCTCTGTTCGTTCGTGTTCAGTTCGTTTGCACCCCTACTCCAAATATTATGAGATCAATCTTGGTATATGTAAATAAATAAATATTGTGGGGTATGTACGTAAAGTTTCCAAAATTTAAAAAAATATATATGGCAAGCGATTGGAATAAAGGATAGATCGATAAAATGTTGCTCAAGCGGCGCAACTTTGTCGTTTTAATTTTTTTTAAAGTGAACAAGTATATTAATTAAAATACCATGTCTATGGATTTGGCCCGAGGAATAACCAAACACCTCGTAAATCGAACCAAAGGGAAAAACTAAATTTATATACTTCCAACCCTAAAAAAATCCCGCCGCATTCCCCC